CATCTAGTCCCAGACTCTACTGTGCCTCATCCAGGGATGACCTGCAGACAGGGAGGGCTTCAGTAGGTGTGGGGTCACTGCTGCTCCCTAGCAGGAGCTGAAGTGTGCCTCTGTCACGAGCGCTCAGGTGATGCTGTGCTTCTGCTGTGAGGACTGCGTTCTGAGGAGCAAGGCACTGGCCCATTGCCCAGAACTTGAATCATCAGAAGATTTTAAATGTATGGTCTTTTTGCTAGTGGCATTTATACTTCTGAGAGTGATTCAGTGATAAGTAATATTCCTTAGATATTTCCAGAGGTATCAAAGCCTGGACGTCACACGTTTGTTCTCACCTGACGTGGTAGACTTACGTGTTGTTTGAAGGAGAGTGATTACCAATTTAGGAGATGCTCTCATGCCTACTGCCCTCCGAGCAGATTAGTAGCCAGAACTTGGGGCATCGTTGCATTTCCCTGCCTGGGAAATAATAAGAAAGAAGTGCCTGTGGCTCAAGTATTAGAGCGCCGGCCCCATATACCAGGGGTGGCAGGTTCGCTCCCGGCCAAAAACTGCAAAAGAAAAAAAGGAGTGTCTTCATAACACTCTTAGACTTAGCGTGACAGGCAGTACATTGTGACACTTGAATTGTTCTTTCTTGGTCGTATATACCTGCTCACATGAGATGAGACTGAAGATCTTTACCAGGACTTATGAACTTCTTAGAAGTTGTATCATGCAATGGTGTTTTACTATAGAGAATGAGGATTGACCTCTTAAAAAAAAAAGTCTAATATTTTATACTATGTATAATTTTTAAGCAGTGCAAATTATCTAGCAATTAGAATGTTCATGTTTGAATCTAATGTAGTAAATTTTTTCCTTCGTGATAATGTTTTGAAACATCAAGTTTATTTTCAATCTGTGGCTCTAATGATAAATTCTTAGAAGGGTAATAAAACTCAACAACTAGTTCAATTGTAGTCTAAAGTTTTATCTGCTGGAGAATGATTTAAGCTTTTCAAATACTTTCTCTTTAAGGAACTAACTTACCGAAAGGAGATGATCAGAGCTGATCTAATTAACAAAAAAGTTGGAATCAGGTATGCTCTGAAAACTTCCTTTATTTATTTATTCTTGGAGAGAATTCAAGAACAAAGTCCACATAAGACTATTCCATTTTTTGAGAGAGTGCTTGGAGAAGGTTTTGATGTCCTTCAGAGTAAGTTAAGAATAAAAGAGCATCACTTAGGATGTCTGGGGTCTGATAGAACTCGAGAAGAAAGCTTACTATTTTATGTAGTAGCATATTTGAAAACAAAATGTATACATATTTTAAATAATTCGGTGAAATTTGTGCATTCCTATTTCAGAGAAACTCCAGAAAATCTTGCTAAGCTTCTGACCAGGATGTATTTAAAGTCAGAAGTCATAGGTGATGGGAATCAGATTGAGATTGAAATCCCTCCGACCAGGGCTGACATTATCCACGCATGTGATATTATAGAAGATGCAGCTATTGCTTATGGATATAACAACATTCAGATGACTCTCCCGAAAACATACACCATAGCTAATCAAGTAAGATTGCACCCTTAAATAAACACTCCTTATTGTTAGAAACTGATTATTGAATGCCAGGAAGTCTTCAGGAAAACAGAACGTAGGAATTAAGCAGGATTTGGACATGCTGTGCTGTGAGGGGCATTTGCTATGGAGAGGATACAAAACAGATGCCCAAATGATTAGAGTACGTTTAAAACCTGTGTGGACTAGTTCTTTGAAGAAAGACAGATTTTGAGTTTGGAGCCCTTGCTGAATCTCAACAAGGGAGATTCATTTTCTCAGCTTGGGCCTGAAGGCAGAAGCTGTGTGTGGGAGAGGTGAAGTGGGGAGCTTTGCACATCTGCGTAGAGGTAGGGTGGCAAGGCAGTGGGCCGGGGATATACAGTTGGTGGGGAAATGGTGGCATTAGCAGTATGTTAGGGTGGAAGGGTGGTTTCCTTTTTATGCCATGTTCTATATAAATCTTTTTATTAAAAAGATGTCATCTATTGAGATGAAATAAAGTGACTATTTCTTTTTCAGCTTCCTCTTAATAAGCTCACTGAACTTCTCAGACAGGACATGGCAGCCGCTGGCTTCACTGAAGCACTTACCTTTGCTCTGGTATGTCTTGTGCTTAGCTGATTATTTCCTTAGACTCTCTGAATTATTCTGTGATTTCTTATATGAATTTATAAAATCCAGACTGCTATCATTTCCAGATATTAAAGAATAACATTGTTACTTGAGATAGAACAACTTCTGATAAAGAAATATTGAAGCATTTCTTTTTACAGTCACAGAAGTACTAGAAAAAATGTCTTAAAGGACAGACAGCCAAGTAGTTTATAGATTCATCTGCGTGTTGAGGGCTCACAGTGTATTTCATAACCAAATTTATTAAGTTAGACTATTTGGTCTTAATTTGGTTGTGGCTATGCCCACTAGATGCCGCCCTGGTTACGGGCTTGTGGACTGTTCCACATTAAACTTATTTCTTTTGTCTTTGAACATGTTCACAAACATTTGCTTTGAGTTGAAAAGCTGACATAAAAGGCCTAAATCAGGAAATGAATTTTATTACAAAATCAGAAGGAAATATGCCTCCCCTACCAGATTGAGCATTTGAAAGGCTAAATGTGTGTGCAATTTGTAGTTCCTTTTTCCTCCTGCTGAGCGTTTCTGTGGTGCCTACAGTGTAGTTCTTGAGTATTCCGGTGAGTTTCAGCTTGTCGATCTACAGAGGGAAAGAAGCTACATCAACCCCATAACTCAGCTAAGAATCCTAAAATTCTTCATCATTTAGGGTATTTAAGGAACCTTACTTAATGAAATTCTCAGTCCTTTAGAGTATTTAAGGACCATACTTGTGGTCTAGTTTACTACTTCTGTTGTTCTGATTTACAGTCATTCATTCAGCAGCATTTTTGAGGATTTATTGTCTGTCAGGCACTGTACCAGTGAGGAAGCTGGAGTCAGAGAGAAGATACGTGCCTAACATTTTACACAGACAGCAGGGGAACCAGATCCAGAGTCCCGGCCTGTGGACTCCAAGAACTGTGCTTTTCCATCTTCTCGTGCTGTGTGTGCTAGGATCGTAGTCCACGTGGTTTGTCTGGATACATATACTGTATGCATTTAGTAATGCGCATCCATGATGCATGTAAAGTAAAATAGAAAAAATAACACTGAGAAATTTATTTTTGTTTAATAGGCAAGTGGCATAGGAATAGTCTCATTTTAAAGGATTCAGACTTTAACCATATAAAGTAAATCATGACAGTTTCTGTCCCCATTTCTAATCCTGTTTTCCTCCCCAGAAACAGTTGCTGTTAAAACCTCAGCACGTGGGGGTGTTTTGCCCTTTTGTATTAGTGCTGCATTTTGATTGGCAACTTGTGGCCCGTCCGTGCATCTTTGGAGGAGCATGTGGGCTACGTCCTGATGAGTGGCTGTTCTGCAGGGAGTGTGTACCCTGTGCCCAGGGCTTTGGGTACTAGTTCTGTTTCTTCTCAGTACACCTGTCAAGCAGTCATTCCTTTCACAGCACTTAACTTAGGTAACTTTCCTACTCCACGCAGCCAGTCAGCGGAGCCGGGATTCTAGCCCAGGCCTCTGTGCATTCAAGACCCATGACTGAACTGTCACACGGGGGATGTTAGTAACAGTCTGTAACAGTTTGTTCAGCTGTCCACAGTCACTTTACAACATTTATTGTGTATCACTAGGCGAGGGAGGAGAGAGATGCTAGAGAGTTTCACTTCTGTAATATTTTTTATAGGAAATTTTGCACAAAGGAACAGCCATTCTTTTTCTTTCTTTCTTTTTTTATTTTTGCAGTTTTTGGCCAGGGCTGGGTTTGAACCCACCACCTCTGGCATATGGGGCTGGAGCCCTACTCCTTTGAGCCACAGGCGCCGCCCCAGCCATTCTTTTTCTAAAACCTAGTCTTTGATTTCCCACATGTAACTCACATTTCATCATTATGATCTTTGTTATGTCTGTGTAGCAATTGCAATATTTTCTTTTCAATTTAATATTGGCTCACTTTTAAAATTATCTCCTTTAACTTTGTTATAAAAATAATATCTGTAAAAATTATCAGCTTTGTTTACTTACATTTTTTTCTAACACATTAAAATAAACACATAAATATCAACATTTAGAAAGTATTCCTAGGCTGGGCGCAGTGGCTTACTCCTATAATTCCAGCCCTCTGGGAGGCCAAGGCAGGTGGATTGCTTGAACTCATGAGTTCAAGACCAGCCTGAGCCAGAGCGAGACCCTGTTTCTACTAAAAATAGAAAAACTGAGGCAAGAGGATTGCTGGGGACCAAGAGTTGGAGGTTGCTGTGAGTGATGACACCATGGCACTCTACCCAGGGTGACAGCTTGAGACTGTCTCAAAAAGAAAAAAAAAAAGTATTCCTTTCTATGTGCTAGCTGCTGCCGCTTCTGGACAGCTTAATTTTAATTGCTTTTTATCCCTATGTGTCATCATCCATGATCATGATAAAACACAAGGTCACTCAGACATCAGATAGAGAGCCACACGCCTGTGTGCCTGTGAAGCCTTTTTCTTTTACACAGAACTTACTATTCCATCTGAGAGTGAATTGCATCATCTCCCAGTTAACTGATTACATTACATCTAAATTTTGTTACAAGGCTCCTCTGTGCTGTGGGGAAAATGCCCATCCCCAGTGTGCTTGTGCCCATTCTCCACCTTGGCAGCCACAGCACATAGCAGATCAGCAGGCTGTATTCTGCAATGCCTGGATTTGACTTCAAGGTCTTTCCCACAGAAGTATGGCAGGAATTGCTAGAACTGTCATTATTAATTCTTTTTACCATTTCAGTTATTCTTTACTATTCTTTTTTTTCTAAGTGAAATACAGGCCAGCTAGTCCTTGACGACCGTTTTATAGAACAGTACAATGAGCAATATTGCCTAATGTTAGAAAATAGTACAGTAATCTCATGGCATGTCAGTTTTTATGTTCAGCTTTAAATTTGTTTTCAGAAATGTAGCATTAGTGACAGTTTGTTCATCGTCCTCATCATCGATATTTTTTGAGCATTTCCTCTGAAGGCACTCTACTTGATTAGCTCAGTCATTTATTGTTAGACTCGACATACCTAATAGTGAGTTTTATTTTCATAACTTCCATCTACAATGGTGGTTTTCGGGTGACAAGCACCTTCCTCTTTTTTGGTAGGTGAGTACAGAGCAGTTTGTTACAAAGAGCTTCACTGAGCATGTTCTAGAAAGAACACTGGGCAGAGTTCAGGCTGCTTGAATTCTGCTTTCAGTCCTACCCTTGTGCCCCAAGTCAGTGTGGAGTTAGCCAGGGTAAAGGATATAGCAGGAGGGACACAGAATTTCTGACTAGAGTCATTAGGACTATTTTAATGGAAGAGGGGTCATTCAAGTAGGACCTTGGACAATAGGCTGCAAATGGGACGGGGAGAGCATTTCAGGGAAAGTGTGAGAATCCGAGAGTGGCCTAGGACATCAGAGTAGAAAGGTTAAGTGGGAGGGTAGCTTAGGAAGGGACTGGATTCAGGTTATAATGCGAAAAATCTACTTTAGCTCCACATCAGAGCTAGAACTCCTAAGAGAACTGTTACTGTTAAATTGCTTCTGCTGTGGGACTGCACTGATGTGTGTTTGTTTGTAGCTTGTTCTTAACTTGCTGATTTATGTAGGGTATATACCGCTGTTAGACCATCAGAAATTGACGTACCTCATGAAGTACTTTCTCTATTAGGTTTTCTTTCATTGTTTTGCCGCATCAGTCTATTTTGTATGTACTTCACAGTGCTCCCGAGAAGACATTGCTGATAAACTTGGTTTGGATATCTCTGCAACGAAGGCAGTCCACATAAGTAATCCTAAAACAGCTGAGTTTCAGGTAAGAATTTTAAGTTGATGAGAATTTGACTGAGAGGCAGTACGTGAGTTAGGAGAAGTGTCTTCATTTATGCTTCAGACGGTAAAGTCTTTGAGGCTTTTATAACCTCTGGGATAAGTTTGCAGTTGGTTCTCACATGCTTTGCTGACATAAGTTCTTAACACTTTTGAAGTAATCTCTTCCTGATTTAATTGATAGTTGGTTTTTACTTGCTTTATGTTGTTTGCCCCAGTCTCTCCTGTCTGAACTTTTCATTTCATAATTTATTTTTTGATACCATTTTCAGATTTTATCTTTTCCATTCATCTGTATAAATGAATCAAAACCTGTTTCTAGCACCTCCATAAGTCAGTCACCTTGAAGTCAGCCATTACTTCTGTTCTGGACTATGTTGCCTTTATCTGTGATTGTAATTGTTTATTAGCTGTTTTCCTGTAGAGTTTGAAAATATTTTTAAATGAGGGTGATATTACTTTAATAGTATTAAATGATTTGTTATAGGTTAGGATATTAACTATGAATATATGGGCATTTCAAGGTTATAGTCTTTGCATTGTTTCTTTTTTTGGTTTTTTTTTTGAGACAGAGTCTCAAACTATCGCCCTGGATAGACTGCTGTGTCATCACGGCTCACAGCAACCTCAAACTCTTAAGTGATTCTCTTGTCTCAGCCTCCCAAGTAGCTGGAACTATAGGCGCTCACCACAACCTCTGGCTGTTTTTTGGTTGCAGTTGTCATTGTTGCTTAGCAGGCCTGGGCCAGGTTCAAACCCGCCACCCTAGGTGTATATGGCCGGCGCTGTCCTGCTGACTGAGCTACGGGCACTGCCAATATAGTCTTTGCTTATTAATAACTTTAATTAGTTCCATCTTTCCATCTAATAAGTTCTCACTCTTTTTCTCTTACATGTGGCAATTCTGTTTTTTAACCCAGGCTTTAGAGAAAATCATGTCTCCTGGCATCAAGATTTGGTTATGTTCGTGATGGTATTCATCAAGTACATGAATTCTTTATTTAGGGTCAGAATGTGGAAGAGTTGTTATGCTAGTTTGGAAGGGTTGTGATAACCAATTGTTATATTTTGCTTCCTGAGGCGTAGCTTTTCTACTGTTTTTAAAAGGTGCTCAGGGTGCCCTTTTAAATAAAACATTGCATAGAGTGATTTTTCAGCAAATCTTAATGGATTTTTATTTGATATTCTCTTTTTTCCCCCAGTTTTATTCTTCAGGGTTTATATCCTTCCTATCTATTTTATATAAGTGGGAGGAAAACATGAGAAATGCATTAAATATCACTATAAATAGCTGTGGCTTTACATGCTCAAGAATGAATCTTTATGCATAAAATACTTTAGAGATGAGAGTGTCTGTCTTTTAGACTTAACAGATTCTTCATTTTACCCCTACTTTACCAGCAGAGTCGACCCACCGTTACTAATACGGCTAACAGGTTTATATTTATATATGGTCAAAGTAAATGTAAAGTTGTTCACGGGCTTGTAACTCAGTTTATTGTCTAAGCCTATTCTTTCTCCCGTGTAATTCTGAACTTTGTGCTCTTTTCTGATAGTAAATAGAATATGTTGGAGAACTGATAAGATAGAAAATGATAATTAGCTAAAATATGGAAAATTTTATTATAATATTGTAAACAAACTTAGATTATTGTACTCTCCCCAAATTAGCAATAACATTCTTTAATATCCTCACATATCCAGTCATTGTTTAAGTTTTCCCATTTGTCTTAAAATTTTTTTTTTCCTGCAGTTTTT